ACGTTGATTAGCTGCGTATATACGAATGTGAATCGCATCATTGGCTGGACTTTGGGATAAGGTGGCATCGTTCTGATCCCATACGGGAGCAGCCAGTCACTGACTAACACTGCAGAACAGAATTGTTAACGTTTTTATTTTCATTTCAATTCAGGTTAGATTTTTTTTTGTGCGCAACAAAGATTTTCTGTGCACAGAGACCGAGTCAGCAGCGCGCAGCTTAGAGGGAACATTGGTCCTGTTATATTTTAGACAGCAAGGAGCAGCGGCTGAGTTTATTAAACTCCACCGAGACAATCTGCAAATTTCATTAAGTGTAATAAACTATCATCTTGTCTTAATTTTAGTTAGCACAGACCTTAAAAACTTCAAGCTGTAAGCTAATGATAGTTATATGAGAGCAGATGCTGCTGGTGCAAGAAGCTGTACGTTTCCCATCCAATGGATGGTCCATTGGACGTGAAACATACATGTAGCCTTGCAGACTAATCGCAAAACTCATCGGTGACTAGTTGACTATCAAAATAATCGTTTGTGGCAGCCCTAGTTTAAAATGTACTTTTTGATGCAGATCATTCTGCCATGGTATACAGTAAAGATAATTGTCCTTTCAGTAACTTAAAACATCAAACGCCACCAACAGAACCCAGAAAGCAGCTTTCAGTAGGCTTATTGTTGAGGAATACTTGCTGTATTCATCAACAATGCACAAGGTCAGCTGTGCTGGAAGTAATCTGCATTTACCGACTCTTGGTAAAGTTGTAAAGTCGATAACCACGAAGCTGCTTCCAGAAATAAGACAGAGTCAGCTGCACAGCCTGTTGTACAGAGCTGTAAATGATTATGACTGTGGTTATCAAAGTCCAGCCTGTGTTCTGTATAGAAGAACGAGCTCTGTGACATCAGAGCCTTTCTGGATGTTGGTTGTATTAAATAAATACATCATGTGTTTCAGAAGAATAACACAGATTTTACAGGCGGGTTAAACTTTCTAAAGCTACTCGGCGAGTTCTTTGAAGGTTAAAGTGTGGGCAATAACATGCTGCTGGTAAATACAGCTGTATGAAGCGCACAGTACAGATCCCTGCTCACATCAAACACGTTGGGTTTACTTTTCTCGAAAGTTTCCTGAAACTCGTAAAAGCACCGTGTGGCCCTGTGATTACAGCGTTACACGTCCAGTATGTGCAGGCCCCACAGACACAGCAAATCCAGTATTAACCGAAGAAACGGGAAGGAAATGTGCAACTTTTCTAAACAGGGAGACGAAACTCACAGTTCAAGTGTTTCTTCTTCGGCCCCATAATTTCATGAGTGGTTGCCTTGCAGACAGTTTTGGAAATCGCCGAGCCGGTGACGCTGTGCTGAGCGGCCGTGATCCTGTCGGTGATGCTCTGCCCGGACATCCTGTATCGGCTCGAACAAACTCTCCTTGCTGTTAGAAACGTCTCAGCAGACTGGCTTAGCTTCTTCAAAGGTCCTGTTCCACCTGACAACACAGGAAACAACCAGACAGAGAAGAAGTGATGAGAAGACGGCAGCCGTTAAATGGATCTCATGAGCTAGCTAGCTATCCAACCGGCTACAGATGAATTATTCACACAGCTTAAAAACACGAACTGAAGGTGCAGCGACAAATAACATCCCGGCACTTAATAACGGTGTGATACGCACCCTGCCTTTCACTCGACCCGGTACGTCTGTAGCCGTTTTTTCCTCTTCCTGTTCAAGTCAACTCACATGTCGTCGCCAGATGGACTAAATGAAAGTAGAAGTTACTTCCGGTTACATTTTTCACAATAAGTGTAGCCTAATTTTCAGGAAAAATAAATAAAAGCACAACGAT